GGTGCGGGGGGGTCCCCACCGACCCCTCCTCACCTGCCCCTTCTCCAGAAAGCGACATCGAGCTGGACCTTCGTGGCCACAGCCGTTCGGGGCGTGAGGTGAGCATGTCCCCGCTGTCCTCAGTGCCAGGGCTGAGGATGCCCCATGTGCCCACACCCCATGGGCAGCCCCCCAGCCCCACTGCTGACAGGGATGGGGGGTGCTCTCCCTCCAGCATCTGCAGATGTGATGAACGGGGCTGCTTCCTCTACGTGGTGCATGCAGAGGAGGATTTCCAGCTCTACTTCCCCTCCCAGCAGCATTGCCGGTGGTGAGCAGGGGGGGTAACAGGCACAGAAACCCCCATAGGGGACCCCCAGTCACTGCCCCGGTGATGGGAACACACTGCTTTTTCCCTACCTTAATTTTCTGGGGGAAATGGGGTATCCTAAGGACACAAAGCAGGGTGGAACAGGCCCTGCCTTGTGCCACTGGTGGGGGCCAGATTGGGAGGGGAAGCAGGAGCCCCTCTGTGCCGGTGGTTGGAGACCGGTGGCCATGTCCTCAGTGTCCTCACCAGGGCTCAGGACCCTTGTCCTCCCCCGGCAGGTTCTGTGACCAGATCCAGTCCCTCCTGGCCACACAGGCAGTGGGCGGCGAGGAGGTGCCCAGCCCCACGCAGCCCATCTTGGAGGTGAGACGGGGCCATGGGGTGACACGGGGGTGACACAGGGTGACACGGGGGTGACACCCCCATCTCTGCCCCCAGTACAGCTACGAGTACTCGGAGGCGGGTGAGCGAGTGGTCCTGGGCAGGGGGACCTATGGGGTGGTCTACGCCGGGCGCTGCCTCAGCAACCAAGTGCGCATCGCCATCAAGGAGATCCCGGAGCGGGACAGCTGGTGGGTGCCATCTCAAGGGGTCCCAAGGGGTCCTGGGAGGTCCCAGGGGGTCCTTGGGGAGCCCCTCACCCTGGTGTCCCACCGCCCAGGTACTCGCAGCCCTTGCACGAGGAGATCGCCTTGCACAAGCGCCTGCGGCACAGGAACATCGTGCAGTACCTGGGCTCCATCAGCCAGGACGGCTTCATCAAGATCTTCATGGAGGAGGTGCCGGGAGGTGGGCAGCGCTGGGGACAGGATTTGGGGGTCAGAGGGTGCACACGTGGCCATGCGTGGGGTCTAACTGGGGATGCTCCCCTCTTCAGGGAGCCTCTCGTCCCTGCTGCGCTCCAAGTGGGGGCCGCTGAAGGACAACGAAGCCACCATCGTCTTCTACACCCGCCAGATCCTGGACGGGCTCAGCTACCTCCACGACAACCACATCGTGCACCGCGACATCAAGGTGAAGGGGTGGGGGGCATCACGAGGCCTCATCCCCTCCTCTCCAGGGGCACCAGGGTGCCAGGAGCTGCCCCTCTGTACCCAGACTCCCTGGGGTGATGCCCTGCTTGAGCTCCAGGAGGCTTTTTGTGGCTCGGTTTTATTTTGGGGTACCCTTCTCACTCCAGGGAGACAACATCCTCATCAACACCTACAGCGGGGTGCTGAAGATCTCCGATTTTGGTACCTCCAAGCGCCTGGCAGGCATCAGCCCCAGCGCCGAGACCTTCACTGGTAAGGACAGCACAGGGCTGGCTTCCCCCAATTTGGGGGTGATGGGATGCTGAGGACCAGGCAATTATGGGGTCTGCATCCTTGAACACAGCATGGGGAGGAGAAACCACCCTGGGGGGCAGTTTGGGTGATGGATATGGGCTCCTTTCCCCCCTCCTCATCCTCTGGCCAGGCACCCTGCAGTACATGGCCCCAGAAATCATCGACCAGGGCCCGTGGGGCTACGGGAAGCCAGCAGACATCTGGTCCTTGGGCTGCACCATCATCGAGATGGCCACGGGCAAGCCCCCCTTCTACGAGCTGGGCAGCCCCCAAGCTGCCATGTTCAAGGTACCCACGGGGTTGGGTTGAGCTTTGGGAGGGTTCTCCAGCTCTGAAATTGCCCCCATTTGGGGTGGCCAGGCCCTTTGAGTCCCCCAAAAGTGCCTCCTCTCCAGGTGGGGATGTTCAAGATGCACCCAGAGGTGCCCGAGTCTATGTCAGCCCAGGCCAAGGCCTTCATCCTGCGCTGCTTCCAGGCCGACCCGGCTGAGCGGGCGACAGCGGCCGCGCTGCTGCAGGACCCCTTCCTCGCCGACGCCAGGAGGGGCCGGAGCCGGCCCCTGGCCCCAGCAGGGGGTGAGTTTTGGGGGGGCAAGATGTAAGGGAGACTGGCATGAGGTGCCAAATAACCATCTCCATCCCCATCATCTCCCTGGCAGGTGATGCCCCCCGCTTTGGGCAGCGGGATGGGGATGCAGAGGGCAGCGATGGGAGCAGGGACGCTTGCTCAGCCAGGTGGGACACCCCGATGAGGGGCACGGCGGGGAGGCCCCCGCCCCCCCGCCACCCCCCACAGCGAGGCCACCTCCAGCTGCAGCTACTTGGGGTAGGGCATCATGGGCATGGGGAGGTGGAGGGACCCCAGGGTTGCCCCTGCCACCCACACCCCACCATGCCCCCTCATTGTGCCAGGGCATCACATCCCTCCCCATTACAGCCTGGCGGGGCTGCAGGAGGTCCCCCACGCCCTCTGCCAAGCCCCAGAGCTGGGGTGAGGGGGCAGTGCCAACCCTCCCCACCTCCCACCAGCCCTGCCCAGGACTCAGGCAGCTCTGACTCCCTTCTGCGTTCGTCCTCCCCCGAGGAGAGCAGCGGGGACGGCTTCCTCCTGCGCAAGGACAGCAAACGCCGGGCCACGCTGCACCGCGTCCTCAGCGCAGAGGCAGCGGCCATCATCACTGCCCTGGAGGAGAGCCAGGTGGGTGCCAGGGGTGGGGAGGGGTCTGCAGGGCACCGCAGCAGCCCCTCAGCATCTCCTTTGCCCACCCATCGTCCTCCCCCGAGGAGAGCAGCGGGGACGGCTTCCTCCTGCGCAAGGACAGCAAACGCCGGGCCACGCTGCACCGCGTCCTCAGCGCAGAGGCAGCGGCCATCATCACTGCCCTGGAGGAGAGCCAGGTGGGTGCCAGGGGTGGGGAGGGGTCTGCAGGGCACCGCAGCAGCCCCTCAGCATCTCCTTTGCCCACCCAGAGCGCGACGGGCGGGAGGTTGAGCTCGGAGCATCTCGCCCAGCTGCTGGGCTGCCTGCGGAGCTACATCCAGTGCCCCAACCAGCACCGGCTGTGCCAGGACCTCCTTACGCTCGCGCCCCGGCTGCGGG